GCCGAGGAATTCCCAATAGTATCTCTATCTAAAGAGATTGATATGGTTTGTTGTACTGTTGCTGCTTCGAATAACAGATGAGAAGGAATTCAGTTCCCTCAGTCTACTAATGTTATTGTGTGTGTCTGTTTGATTGTTTTAATGTTTTACTTTACATCAATAAGAACCACTGTGTGTTTGTTGTACCTTGTACCCTTCTAAGATATGTGATATCATATGCACTTTTAATTATTTTATGTTATGAACTTTGCAACTGAGAAAGAAGTGAAGAAATAGAGTATCATATAAGAAGACTCAAGAGGCGCACTTATGTTGATGTTGTTAAATCTAAATTTTAGAGTTGTTAGGCTTATTATTTTTCATTCACAGGCCTCTATCTTCAATGAACAAAACAATATGTACCAGATCATATATTTCAAGGAATGTTCTTCAAAATCCTCTATCTTCAAAATCTCAAGACAACAATAAATGATCGACGATGTTTAAATATTCACTTAGTCTAAAATTTATGAAATTCCATTAGAGGATTGATAAGACCAAAGTTTCCTAAAAATAAAACTCAAAGTTATTGGATCAAAGGCTTCAAGTTAAACATACTTGGGCTTGCCAACATAGGTTTGGGCCACGAATGATCATTTTTCGAATTGTGACAAAATTTAGCGATATGTTAAGCATTCGTAAGTGGACTTATGTAGAAGTCGCACCTATTTTGAGACCGTTCAATAGCAATCTATGTTCCATATACTTGGAGTGATGATATGTAAACCATCCTCTAACAACATGTAGCACAAAAGAGAAGAGGATGAGATGAAGACGGAAGGGGAATATTTGAATAAAAAATTTAATCAAACTATCATTAAAATCATTCATCCATTTTAGTAGAGTTAAACTCAACACTCAAGATCCAATGATGTTAATGAAGTTTATGATCTACAATCACATAGCTAGAATATATTAAAAAATAAATTTCATTTAATGAATAAAATAAAAAAAGGAAAAATGATTTTTAAATTGTTTTTATAATGAGAATAAATAGCAAACTATATTCAAAGTATCAAAGAAATTTTTTTAAAAAATCATAGAAAAATCAGTAATGACTTCAAGTATTTTTATAATTTTTTTTTTGGTAATTTTTTAAAACAGAAAAGTATTTTTAAGCTAATTAAAATCACTCAAATAAGTGAAAAAAAGATAAAAAATAGTAGAGGTCAAAATAAAATTTTAGAAAAATTTCAGAAAGTCAGAAATAAGGAAATTAATTTTTATAAAAAAATTTTAAAATTTAAAAGTATCAAAAAATAATTTTAAATAATTCAATTCACAAACACTTTCAAAACTTAAGGTGAAGAAGTAGCTAAGTGTCTCTCTATTGGGAGTCATTTACTACCATCTCCAACAAAACACTTCAACAAATCTAAGATCTTTTACCTCATGGTTTTTTCCTTTGAAACATTTTCAAAAGGGCATGTTATTTTCGCTTTACAAAAATACAGGTAACACGTGATTCTCCAAACAACGAGCAGCAACACCTAATTCTAGAATGCAAACATAACATCGTCTACTAAAAAACATCAAACAAACCAACATTTTTTAGAAGAACTACGGAGTTCTAATTTCTTCATTTCACTATGGGAATACGTAGGTACTGGGTTGCAAGACTTGGGCGAACTCAATAATAATAAAAAAATTCTTTTCCTCAATCAATTCATTCATACATTCTCAACAAGTTATAGCTTTAGATAGACACACTCTTAAGAAACAAACAACCGAAGTGGATCTCGTTGAGTAAAACAGATGTGACAGGTACTAATAACTTTCTCTTGCATAACCAACTTCCTACCCTTTCTCTTGGTAGCAAAACCATCTTATCCTTCCTTTTGGGGTTTTCTCGATATTTTCCCTTCCTTCGAGATAAATAAAGTTCGGTGGTGAATTTGTGTTTTTTTGCAGTGTGACAAGTATGTGGTATGTCTCTCACAAGGTGTGTTGCTCATAAAGACATGTCCCAAGTGTACAAATGCTCCTTCGTGCTGACCCCTAAAGAGCCCTAACAGTAGTATCATGGGCCTTTGGTTCAAGTGAAGGGAACAACTTACTTGTATCAAACACTACTACGGAAAATCCATACCTCAACGGTTGAAATTGGGATACACAACGCCTGACCAACCGTTATGAGGTAAGGAGTGATTGTATGTCATGTGCTTTCCACCACAGTCTCGAGACCGTGATAATAAGGCAGGACAAGCAATACCTATCAGAACGATTATGCTTATCAACCATTGTGGAAAGTACCCAAAGTTTATTATATAATATGTAGATTGCTTGTTTTTCCACACACATCACTAACGAAATACAATTATTCAAAACACGATTAGCAATGTTTTGTTCTTATTCAGAGAATATTAGTCAACAACAACAACATATAACAACATTTATCAACAAGACAACAATAAAATACAACAACAAAAAAGAAATATACATTTTATCAACAAAACACTGACAACATACAATAACACACACCATCATACAACAACACAAGATATAACAAAATGTTTCAAGAACGCACATTTTATTGAAAACAATCGTGGAACTAGAATCCATGATGAAGTTCATCTAGTTTATGATGCTATGAAAAAGAAATACAAGGTGGACGAAATTTACACAATAACTTCATACTTCTTATATTGTTTTTCACAGGAACACAAACCATATGAACCATAGCCAAAATATGCATTTTGTTAAGGTGGTTTTCTTCATTCACTTTTCCTGTAAGTAAAAAAAATAAACACATGATATTAACAATATTACATGGAACATTCACCAAATGAAAAAAATGATAAATCATTTTTAACAAGAAACATAATTGAAATCGTAGCATAATTTTAATGAACGAACCTGGCGGTAGCGATTGGTGAAAACGAATCTGAAGGTTGCAGTATGTGTAATGAGTGACATGAATGTTAGGGTTATGTTTTAAGAGAGAATAGTGAAATATGTTAGGATTTTCTTTTGAGATAAACATTTGTTATGTACTGAGTGAGAGATACTTTCGCTTATACATTAAAAAGTATCACTTTTCATCACGATTGACAAGAAGAACCGTGACGAAATGATTGGACTTTATACCACGATTGACTAAAATAACCGTGTTGATATACCTTTTTTGTGACGATAAAATGAGATATTGAAAGAGCTGGGATTCGAACTCTGTAACTCATGTTACATTTTATTACAGATTTTAACATTCACCGTAGTGAAATATCTTTTAGTAAAAACAAAAAAAAAAGTCCAAAAATGAGATTCCATCACGGTTAATGAAAGGATATTGTAATATTGTTTGCCGAAAGATATTCTCTGTAGTGGTGAAAATTTTCTACTAGGTAGGAGGTGGTCCGTTGAAAAGTGTCAACAGCGGTACAAGTCCTACATTTATTAGAAATATTGAGAATTAAACATTTATAAGTCGGAGAATTCACACACTTATCGCATTAACGTTTTGGATGAATATGTGGTGTGTCTTTCATTAGATGTGTTGGTCAAAAAGAAATGTTTTAAGTGTAAAAATACTATCTCGTATTGACCTCCGAATAGCCTAAACGGACACTACGTCAACATTTTAATTCATTGTGTTAATAATTTATTTTCTGACAAATTAAACAAAATACCACATCACATTTAATTTAAGTATTATGTTTTAATTTAATATTTTTAAAAAAGATAGACTAAAATTTGAAATTAAAAAAATTAATAATTAAAATTCGAAAAATGATAGTTGTTGCAAATTGAAGTCACATGTCAATGTCACGGATGAAGGTATTCTTTTTATATTTTTTTTCAAATGTCATGAATGATGATAATTTTGTTATTCATTATAATCTCAATCCCAATAGTTGTTGTCGTTGAAGAAATTAAAGATTATTCAGATATTTTATCTTGAGATTAAAAGTAATACATGATCAGTATAAACTAATTTTATATTATCATTAATAATTTTAACATTCTATTATATAATATTAATATTTTTAAATTAAAAATATAATTTGATTTAATATATATATATATATATATATATATATATATATATATATATATATATATATATATATATATATATATATATATATATATATATTTTTTTTTTTTTTTGATTGATTGATAATATAAAAATATTTTACGTATACTCCGAATAAGAAAAACAAAGAGAATCATGTTAGTATCTTTTAAAGGCTAATAAAAAATCTTTTCACATTCACATAAATCAAATCATTCATACTTGATATATTATTGAAATAAAACTATGTTCAAACACAAACAAAACTTAACTACATTTTCTTTTATTCACAACCTACATTCTTTTAGGTATTTTTTAAATGGATATTTTCAAGTTAATTATCTTTGATTTCTTTAAATATTTTAATTTTTTCAAAATATAATATAAATTAAAAATATATATTTTAAGTTAAAAATCATACAGAAACAAATATAAAATGTTATTTTGTTTGAATCCAGTTTTAAAAATACAACAGCTAAGTCTTCTTAAAAAAACGTTGATAACTTTTATGTCCATCTTAATTTTTTTAACTCGAAAATTACAAATAATATCTAATTATTAATCAAATAAAATTTAAAAAAATAATTTAAATTGTGTCCTTAAACCAAACAAAAAAACAACTTGATAAATAATATTTTTTTGTTAGTTTACGCGTAAGAATGCAATTTAAAATTACCTCAACTGATCCATTTCTCATTACACAAATTATCATACATTATATTTCTGTTGACCTAGGGCATAAATTATCATATATTTTATATACCACGATAAGTGTAAGCCTCATCCTAATAATATTTATATGATGTTAGTTATTAATAATAAATAATTTCAAACAAAAAAACTTTTTTGGATCAGAACATATTGCCCTATAAAAAATGAGATAGTTGAAGCTTGCAAACCACAAACTCTTGTTTCAAAAAAAATCATAAATAATTTGCAAGTAGCAAAGATGTATTCAGGAGTGAAAAGTTTGATCAAGAGAGGCCAAAAGGTGAAGGGAACAGTTCTGTTGATGCAAAAGAATGTCTTGGACATTAACGCTCTTACTTCAGCTACAAGCACAAGTGGTTTAATCAAAGGTGGATTCAAAGTTGCTGGTGGTATTACTAGCTCTTTAATTGACACTTACACTTCAACTTGGGGCCGTTCAGTGGCTTTCAGGTTGATTAGTGCTACCGCTACAGATGGTAATAACTTCTTCACTTCTTTTCATACTATTTACACAATATCTATTATCTATCATTTGTATTTTTGTTGTTACAGTAAATATGATCCATAACTTCTTGCAGTCATTATTTTGAACCATTAATGATTTAATATCTTTGTTGTTGCTACACTATATGCATCGTTTCAAAAGATCTAAATGAAAATTTATTTTACATATTAAGAGAATTATCATTATTATAACTGAAAATCAAAATTTGTGACATATTTGTAGGAAGTGGAAAAGGGAAAGTGGGGAAGAAAGCATATCTAGAAGGTCTTGTTACTTCTATACCAATATTGGGAGCAGGGCAGACTGCATTCGACATTCATTTTGAATGGGATAGTGAGATGGGAATTCCAGGAGCATTTTATGTTGAGAGCAATATGCTTGGAGAATTCTTTCTTGTAAGTTTGACACTTGAAGATATTCCCAATCATGGAACCATCAACTTTGTTTGCAACTCATGGATTTACAACTATTCAAACTATAAAACTGAACGCATCTTCTTTGCCAACAAGGTAACAAAAAATATCATGTTTATCTACTAACATGTTAAAAAATAAAAATTTCAAAATTTGACACCTTCAAATGAATAAATATATAGACATATCTTCCAAGTGAAACACCGGCTCCATTAGTCTACTATAGACAAGAAGAATTGAAGACTTTAAGAGGAGATGGAACTGGAGAGCGCAAAGAATGCGAAAGAATCTATGATTATGATGTTTACAATGATTTGGGAGCTCCTGACCAAAAAGCTACCTTGGCTCGTCCCGTTATTGGAGGATCTAGCAACATGCCTTATCCTAGAAGGGGGAGAACTGGTAGAAGACCATCTAAGAAAGGTAATGCACTTTTTGTTCTATATTAACAAGTAAATGAAGTGAATGGTGCTAAAATATGTTTATGATTCTAAAGGTTTTTTTTTTTTGTATGTGAATAGATCCGAAAAGTGAGAGCCGGAGCGACTTTTTTTACCTTCCAAGAGATGAATCATTCGGTCATTTGAAGTCTTCAGATTTTCTTGTTTACATACTCAAATCAGCATCTCAAAATCTCATACCTCAATTAAGATCTGTAGTTACATTACAACTCAATAATCCTGAGTTTAACACCTTCGATGATATTCGTTCGCTATATGAAGGTGGATTTAAATTACCTACTAGTGTACTTAGCAGACTTAGCCCTATACCATTTTTCAGAGAATTCTTTCGAACTGATGGTGAATCAGCCCTTAAATTTCCACCACCTAAAGTGATTCAAGGTACCTAGTAGCAACACACTTTTAGTGTCCAAGCAAATATATTTTCGTTCTATATATTCTCTCTGGTCCGTTTTATAAGAAACAATTCATTTGTTAAATTCGTGGATTTCATAATAAATCTAACTCATGAATTGTTTTTTTTTAAAGGATGAGAGAGTATGAAAGAAATATTACTGATTTTTGCAACACTCTTATTTTGAGCAGTGAATCAGTCTGCATGGATGACAGATGAAGAATTTGCAAGAGAGATGATTGCTGGTGTGAATCCACACATCATCCAAAGGATTCAAGTAAACTTAATAGTTTAACAGCTTCTTTGAAAACACAAAATCTAAACTATGAATATTGTCCTTTTTTCCTGCTATATTTTCATCTTTTAAACCTCATTTTTGCTTGCTACATAATTAATACAGGAGTTTCCACCAAAAAGCAAGCTAGATAGCCAGTATGGTGATAATACCAGCACTATAACAAAAGAACACTTGGAGCCAAACATGGGAGGAGTCACTGTGGAACAAGTAATGACATGATTTAACATTATTACTATGAATAAATAGTTTTGTTAATGCTTTTTTGTAAGAGTGGTTCAACTTTATTCAAATAATATTTTGTTAAACAGGCTATCCAAAACAACAAACTTTACTTACTTGATCACCACGACTCAATATATCCATTTTTAAGGAAAATAAATGCAACTGATACCAAGACATATGCTACTAGAACCATCATTTTCTTACAAAATGATGGAACTTTGAAGCCATTAGCCATTGAGCTAAGTATCCCACATCCTCAAGCTGATAGTTTTGGTCCTGTGAGTAAAGTTTACTTGCCTGCGAAAGAAGGTGTTGAAGCTTCAGTTTGGTTCCTTGCCAAGGCTTTCGTTGTTGTAAATGACGCCACCCATCACCAACTTTGTAGCCATTGGTATTAATTTCATTAATGATGTTTATAAAATCTCATATATGATTAATTTTATGAATACCTACATGTTTGACAGGTTGAACACTCACGCTGTTGTTGAGCCCTTCATCATTGCTACAAATAGGCATCTTAGTGTGGTTCACCCTATTCACAAACTTTTACTTCCACATTACCGCGACACAATGAACATCAATGCACTTGCTAGAAATGTTCTAGTTAATGCAGAGGGTATTATAGAATCTACATTCTTGGGTGGAGCATATTCTGTTGAAATGTCTTCTTTTGTATACAAAGATTGGGTTTTCACTGAGCAAGGATTGCCTCATGATCTACTCAAAAGGTAACCCTACAAAATATTATATCAAACATTTGCAGTCGCGATTTCACTATAATAAATAGCAATGAGATTATAAATGCAAAAGTATTTCTTTTATGTTATTGATATGATATATTGCTTGTTATCTAGGGGAGTGGCTATTGAGGATCCAACTTCACCGCACGGTCTTCGCCTTCTGATAGAGGACTACCCTTATGCTTCTGATGGACTAGAGATATGGGCTGCTATTAAGTCTTGGGTTGAAGAATATGTTAACTTCTACTACAAGTCAGATGCTTCTATTGTGCAAGATTATGAACTCCAAGCATTTTGGAGGGAAGTTATAGAGGTAGGTCATGGTGATTTGAAGAATGCAACATGGTGGTTTAAGATGCAAACTCGTAATGAGTTGATTGAAGCATGCAGCATCCTCATATGGATAGCTTCAGCACTTCATGCAGCTGTTAATTTTGGACAATATCCGTATGGAGGATACATCCTTAATCGTCCAACTAAAAGCAGAAGATTAATGCCTGAAAAAGGGTCTGCGGAATATGATGAGCTTTCTAAGAACTTTCAGAAGGCGTATTTGAAAACGATTACGCCAAAAAAAGATGCTCTTACTGACCTAACAATCTTAGAGGTCTTATCAAGGCATGCTTCGGATGAGCAGTACCTTGGACAGAGAAATGAAGGTGATCTTTGGACTTCTGATTCACTACCATTAGAGGCATTCAAGAGGTTTGGAAGGAAGTTGTCTGAAATTGAGCAAAAACTCATTCAAAGGAACAATGATGAGTCATTGAAAAATAGGTATGGGCCTGTGAAGATGCCATATACTTTGCTTTATCCTTCTAGTGAGGAAGGATTGACTTGCAGAGGCATTCCCAACAGTATCTCCATCTAAAGAGATTGATATGATTTGGTGTGTTGTTGTTCTGAATATACTATGAGGAGTAATTAAATTCCCCGTTATGTTGATCATGTTATTTTTTTTTTATTTGTCTGTTTGCTCTTGTGTATTATTTTAATGAAGAACTATTGATGTTTGTTCCCTATTGTATTTTTTATTTATTTATTTATTTTTAATGTTTTCATGAGTTTTGATATGATTTGGTGTGTTGTTGTTCTGAATAAAATATGAGGAGTAATCAAATTCTTAGTTAGGGTGATCATGTTTTTTTTTTTTTGTTTGTCAGGTTGCTCTTGTGTTTTATTTTAATGAATAAGAATTATTTTTTATGTTTGTGTTAGTGCACAAGGTTAAAGATGAAGATGGAATAAAAGAGGAGAGAGAGAATTTTTGTAACTAATTTTCTAATTAACTTGTCGAAACAAAAACAATTATAAATTTTGTTACACTCTCTCAAAGTGAATTCTATTTTAACACACCGAACAAACTCATTTTATATATTACATTTCAAATGCAAATTACACTTAATGCAAAATGGAATGCTAACTACATAAAAATTGAATTTGAATTATATTTTATTTCATCCCTTAATTCATATTCAGCTAATTAAAAATCAACGACATCAATTTCATCTCTCAAATTGATGAAAAATTCAGTCTTGATTATCTTAGTCAGCACATCTACAAGTTGCTTCTAAGTATTACAGTGAACAATTTCAAGCATTCCATTCTAAACCTAATTGCGCAGAAAATAGAACTTCGTGTTAATGTGTTTGTTCATTCCATATAACACTGAATTCTTGGAAAGACTTATGACAGATTTGTTGTCATTCATCAATTTCACAAGCTTACTCACTTTGATATTCAGATCTTGCAATAAGTGCAAAATTCAAACAACTTAACACGCAGACAAAGTACCTGTAATATACTCAACTTCACAGGTTGACAAGACACTACAATATTTTTTAGTTTAGGCCACACTAAACTTGCCAACAAATAAAAAACTGCGGCTTAAAAATAGAGTAAGCCACAGATTTGAAAGTCTTACTTAAAATATATGAATATAATACACTTTATACATACCAACATTATAGGCAACACTTTAAAAAGTGTAGAAATTTTAACCACAGTAAGAAAATATGCGCCCTATTTAATTTTAATGGCAACATATTTTAGCTATGGCCTAAAATGTTTTTAGTGTTGCCTAAAACATAATGACTAAAACTTAGTAGGAATATGAAAATTGAGCGTGAAATTTTTAAGATTATTTAATATTTTTAAATGAAAAAATATTTATATTTTACATTGTAGTTTAAAAAAAACGAAAGGACCTTTACTTCTTTCTCTGAAAACACAAATCATTTGTTTTCTTTCATGAGAGAACCCTAACACAAACCTCGTTATCTTCTTCCTCCGAAACGACTCGTCTTCTTCTCTTTGTGCAACAACCTTTCATCTTCTTGTCTTTCTTTCTGATTTGTTTTTGTCTCACGGAAGGAGCTAGAACCCTCATAGTCAAGGTTTCTCTTCTTTTCCTCTCCCCTTCTAGTCTCCCTTGACTTAATTTCAAATCTCATTATATTATATCATTTTCGTTTTAGTTTCTTCGATTTTAATTACATAACTTTCGGTTTTATTGCGATTTAGCAGCTCCATTGTATCTAATTTGTGTGTTTATTTTTGTTAATTAGTAAACTGTTATCCGCTTTGAGTTTTACTGATTTTTGTCAATGGTAATTGTTTACATTTGTTGTTGAGTTAGGGTTCCAGTTTTAACAAAAAAGTGTGAAATTTAAAGCAGTGTATTTGTTTATTATCCTTGCTAACTAACTTTTGAGTAGTGTGGATTTGTAGCATATAAGCTGAGAGAGAAAGAAGAGTCTGGTTTATCTAATTCTGGTTAATTTTAGGAGTAGTTAGAGGAATTGCTTGAAGGATTTTGTTGGAGTAAGAGGTGATGGAAGGATACATCAGTATGGGTGATGTTTTGGTTTGGTCAATAGTTTTTCTATGTCATAACTGGTAAGAATGGTCTGACATAAATTTGAACTGACTTGTGCCTTGTTGGTTCTTGGACTCAAATTGCATGCAATGCGCAATTTGGCATTGTTAGCCAAATATAGTTTTATGTGTTCATAGAGCATGTAGAACTATTCGGAGTAGATGTTGTGAAATACTATCGAGTTGTCGCAATGATGTGAGATGTTCGTTTTTTATCTGCACAATTTTGCTAACTATTTAAAGAGCATGTAAAAAACCAGTTTGTATGTGAAACTAATGGTAAGTGATGATGGTGCAAGGGAAGTATATAGTGAGGCTAACTAGTAGTAACTGACATGGAATCTCCTAAGATTATTTTAACTTATCAGCCTTGTACATGTGAAAATCATCTTTCTGTCAACTAATATAAAATCATAGTGTTGTTATGGATTAATTGATTTGCTAGCCACACAAGGAACCTTAGAAGAAATATATAGAAATCTATCAACATCGTGTTTACCGTGAAATTCAGTAAACAACCGCTGATCTTTTAAATTGAATAAAAGTTTGTAACTTGCAGGATTGACCAGATTGATCCTAAGTACATGTGTTCTCATTTAAAACTTCTATTCCTAAAACGAAGAATATTTCGACAACATCTTCATTCTTTTAGACAAAGATTATTTCAATTTTAACTTCGTAAATAGTAAAGCAATGCTTTTAAAGAAAAGACTGGAATGTAAAGAGATTTCGACTGAAATTTAAAAGAATATATAAAGCTTTCAATTAAAGTTGCCTAACAATAAACATAAAATTGGTGCATCATACGTACATTCTCACAAACTCGTTTCTCTAACGCCGGTACTTTGAGTAATTTTGAGTATTTTGTACAAAGATGTCAACACACTGAATCCTAAAACTAAGACCCCCCTATTTACACTAATTTAGACCAAACAGTCTCTAAATAAGATGTTGCCACGTTCAACATCTGCATACGCCTTTGAATCCTTTGTCTCCACGCGTTACTTTGAATAAGATCAAATTTTGAATTTGAAAATTCTTTGTCTTTGAAGCACCAAACGTGATAGTCGAAATATACTTAATGATATTTTGAATAACTTGAAATCTCTATGGTTCGCGTACGAACCTTTTTCCAACACTTAGCAAAAACAAAGCTTTTATTAGCTCTTCATCTATCGAAAGCTTCACACGAACTTCTTTATTCTTTCTTTCGAACTATATTCTCTAAAATATATAATTTCAGCTAAAACTCATGTAGTCGAAATTTCCAGTCAACAAATTGCCCCCAATAAATGTGTGTTTCGAATTTTTAGGAGAAACATATATTTTTTGCAAAACAATTATATTTCGACGAACATGCAATCCTCCTGATAGACAATAACTGCTATGATGTCAGAACAATCATGACTTATTTTTTCAAAACGTCTAATCAAGACGTGCGTGCAGTAGTTCCATCATTTGCTACAAAAGTAGGTTCTCAGTGTGACTTTTAAACAAGCAACCTCTTATATCAGCTTATCATAGATCACCATGTGTCCAACTAACTCAAAAATTTTAAAAATATAAATTGAACAGTTTCCAGCTTATAAATATCCTCCTCCTTCTCCAAACACACTTTTTCATCTTCTCAATCTTCTGGTTTTCAAAATTTTACACATTCTCTTTCTCAAAAACCGTCAAACAATCAAGAAATTGATTCTGTCAATCATGGCACCATCCAAAAATGGAAGCAAATCCGACAAAAATGTGAAGAACAAAGAAGTGATGATCACGAATGATGATGCATTCAAGCCAATTCATCACATAAAAAAATCCATTCTTATTGGAAATCAAGAACTGGTTCAAACACCACACATTTATGCTGAACAATAAGTAATTTATGCTTCTCAAGTAATAATTCTTCTTACCCTTTGCTGATAAAACCCTAGGGTATATGGGTCATTTGATGTCTTCTAAATGTTTAGAGCAAATCAAGAAATCTTTTCCTGTTTACTATGATACAAAACCCATTTTTAACAAAGTCAAACCTTTTAAGAAGAAATATAGCAACCCTGATAAACAACTAGCAGAATCATCTGTAGAGAAAACCCAAAAAGATACTCCCTTAATTACTGTAGCTGAAGATAAATCCTTTCAGTTTGACTACGTAACTGAAAACTTCAGACCTTTTAGGTCTTGCCCTATAGCAGATAAACAATATCTCGCTTGGCTGAATAAAATTGAAAAGGTAAAATCCAAAGCCTGGAAAGACTTAGGCATCTTCGACTTGATCCAAATGTCGAAAATAGGTTTTAGCTATTGTCAATCCATGCTAATGTCCTCATTGTACTTCTGCGATAATACTTACAATACTTTCCATCTCCCTTGTGGGATGATAACTCCCACTCTCTTTGATGTGACTGCTATCACCGGACTCCCCCTACTAGAGAAACTTTTTATCCTTATCAACAGGATACAAACACCATCAATTTTAATGTCGACAATGCTGCCTTCACCAAATACACGAATCTATATCATGTCCAACGTTGAGCACATAAATTTCCTTGCTCTCTGGCTATCTAGGTGTATTTTTTGTTGTAAATATTTACAAGTAGCCAGAATATTCCTTACCTTAGCAAACCAACTTCACTCTTGCCGGAAAGTGTGCCTCAGTGAATTAATACTTATTGGATTATATGAAAGCCTTGGGTCTGCCACTTCCAAACTGAAGGAATACAACACAGGAACAAACTTGTGCTAGCTGGTCTATATTGGCTGCTCCAATTATGGTTGAATGCAACATTTGAACCATCTCTCAGTACTTCTGGCATAGTGAAAAATAAAGATCCAGAAATCCAAAATCGAACTGTCGAGGGAAAAAGATCGCTCTGACAGACTCCTGATGATGATGGAAAGAATTTTGGGGAGTATTTCACTAAGTACATTGTGATACGGTGGGAGAACTGACTTGAAGGTTTTGCGTTTTATCTCAAATGTTGCGGTTAGCAAGAGTCGCCACCAACTTTTCTTTTATCCAAAAGGAAAGGTAAACAAGCACAGGAAAGACCTTTGAGATTGTTTCTTGAGTTCGGGGGGTAGATTATGAAAAGGGAAGGTACTAGCACCCTTTTTATCCATGGTTTTCCATGGGCTCTTAGTTACTTGCTAGATCACTTGCTTTTGTTTGAAATTATGCTTTGTGTGGTTTTGAAAGTATTTTGTAAAAGAGGTCATTGTTTAGGCAATATTTGTAATGATTCTCGTTCGTAAGAATGTATACAAGAATGTTTGTCTTTTTGAAAATGTTTTCAAGTTTGTAAGATGTTTTGAAATGTGTTTGTTTGTTTTGAAAATAACAAGGATATTTGTTTGAAATGGATCAAGTAATTAGGAGCAATCTACCTACTCAAATGTCTTTCTTGCTCATTTTCTTTTCCTTCGACATTGTTGTCTTACCATTGATTTGGTAAGCAACCCTATCTTTGGATGTAAACGGGACGGGCGTGGGTCATCGTATAACCATGATTAGCAATGTTGCAAAGTATCTTAGCATTTTGAGGGACTAAGATCATTTTTGTAAGGCAACTTTGAATAGCGTCATCAAGGGACTATGATCTTGTTTTTTTTGTTTGTTTTGCAAAGATACCTTACATGCGTAATATGACCATTTTATTCAAGGCGACCAAGTGGAGTAACCCTATGGGTGTTTGTGTGAAAGTGTGTCATTTTCATGCTTGATTTTGTCTTGAATTAGGATTTTCTATTTGGTTGGTTTTATCTTGCCATACAAACCCTAATTATTAACATGTTATATATAAAGCGATAAATTTGCAAAAAGTAAATATCCTACGCTATTACAATCATTTGGGGATGGGGTATACAAATTTACAAATGGGGATTGCAAGAAATTAAAGTCCTAATTATCTATTACAACCATATTAAATAGCCATGAAGAAAATAAATGAAGCACATAAAAGTAATGAAAGGAAAAGAAAACATTTTGGATCATTATGTGTCAACACATGCCGTAAACTCAAGCTTCTCGAATGCACTCTTGTTTTGATGAAGACAAATCATGATTGATAAAGAAGGAAAAAATTATTGATCAAGCTAAAAGCCTCTTTGGATGAAGTCTTTGGTTCAAGTGCTTAGCAAATTTCAAGGTATAATGATGATACTTACCTTGAACTTAAGATATAAATGCTCAATGGTCAAAATGAAACATTTTATATTGTCCAACTCTTTATTCAAGTTATTTCAAAGCAAAAATTCAGTTTTCATTTTAGTGCAATCGATTTGCATGTTAGTGCAATCAATTGCATGCTTCAGTTTTTCAAAACATTGGCTACTAACTGTTGGTGTAAGCCCTAGAGGCCAATACTTTTGGTACTTGTATCGAATTATTTATTAATAATAAAAGGCATTTATTTATTATGTTTGATTTCCAAAATAATAAAGTCCCTAGAATGGTTTATTTGTTTAATGAAATATTAAGTGTGACTTAATCATGAGATCCCATTAAACATAAGACACTATTCTTAAAGTATTTGTAGTCAAGCTTTAATGTGAAGTGGGATAACATTAAAGCATTAATATTATTATGAAGATAGATTGATGATCACATCTCATGGATCATAGATAAGGAGTTATCAAGTCTTGACATAGGTATGAATATTAGGAGTAATATTTATACTAGATTGACCCGCTATGAGAATATTACATAGAATGTTATGCAAAGTGTCATAAGTTATTCTCATGATGATAATGGTGTATACCACCCTTCGACCTGAAACCACTATGGACCCTAGATATATAGTCAAGTACTTTATTGTTGATCAAACGTCATCCGTAACTGGATGACTATAAAGACGGTTGATGGGTACTTCACAAAGCATGCTAAGGGACATGAGTGACCTAGATGGAATTTGCTCATCCTGCATAACCGGATAAATGTCTAAGGGCCCAATATTGAACTGGACAAGGGTGACATAGTGTATGCCTTGTGTTCAATATAGACATGAGGGCAAAAGGGTAATTGTACAACACAAATATTATCACGGAAAAGGTTTGGTCAGATCACATGACATTTTCGTGACTTGGGTAACAGTGATGTGTTGCTAGATACCGCTCACTGTTTATTATATTAAATGTCTGATTTAATATAATTGCCAACGTCGCGAAAACCTACAGGGTCACACACATAAGGACAGGTTGATGAGAGATAGAATAAATAAGGAACACCGTAAGGTACGGTGCACTTAAGTGTAATACGGAAAGTGGTAAGGTACCACGTGGATAAGTGATATATGGTACATCATAAGGTATGATGTCCATAAGCTTAATTGGGCTTTTAGCTTATAGCCTTAATTGGGCTTTTAGCTCGTAGCCCACACGAGTGATTCTATAAATAGATCCCTTGTGATGAAGCAATTTCACTTGATGCAATTTCGTTTTTGATTCTCTCTCTCACTCAAGGTTTCCGCTCGTGATCAGCTAGCACTGTGACCGGAAGCGATCTGTTCGTGTGGACTGAGTACAGGCGTTATTCTTCATCAACGCTCGTGATCACAACATCAAAGGTCTGAATTGCCACAAGAGGTAAATATTTCTATCACTGACCATGTTCATTCGTAAGGATCGCTAAAGGAAAATTTTAAATTCCGCTGCGCTTTTCTGATCGCAATTTTCCTTCACTAACTTCCAGTGCAATCGATTTGCATGGTTGTGCAATCGATTTCACAGTGAAAAATTTGGAAATTTGGCTACTGGAACCCCGTGCAATCGATTTGCATGGTTGTGCAATCGATTGCACACTCAAAAAATTTAGAAATTTGGCTGCTGGAACCCCGTGCAATTGATTTGCATGGTTATGCAATCGATTGCACACTGTATGATTTTGAAAAACAACTGCCTTACACCTGCCTGTTCATGATGCTATTTCATGGAAAACCTATTACTCAATCTTGGCAATTGTTCATGATTTTTTACAAACCTTTTCTTCAAAGGTCACTGTGTTTTAGCCTAAAAAAAGAACCAAATGATGATTATTGAAATGAAGAGTTTAAAGTTAAAGAGACTTACCTTTCAGTTAGAATTTATGTTTTGAGCTTGAGGTGTTGCTTTGTGGACTGTTATGACCTTCTTTCAGTTATGAGATTTTTTTAGAGTTTGTCAACACAACTTCTGGTTTTCTTTCTCCCTTTTTTCTCTTCTCGCCCTCTTTTTTCTAACTCCTTTTCTCTTGCAATTGGCCTCCCTATTTATAGAGAAGGTTTGAGACTTCAAACAACTCAGATTTTTGAATCACATGTTATAGTTATCTTGCTTGTTTTTGAAGAAAACATGAAGGGCATGTTTCCAATGCTTGTACCAAGCTATGTAAAGTGGTTGATCACTTTAAACATGTGCGTTAATGTTATCTTTCTTGCATGTTATCTAGAGGAGTGGCAATTGAGGATCCATCTGCTCTATACGGTCTTCGCCTTCTGATAGAGGACTACCCTTATGCTTCTGATGGACTAGAGATATGGGCTGCTATCAAGTCATGGGTTGAAGAATATGTGAATTTCTACTACAAGTCAGATGGAGCTATTGCACAAGATGTTGAACTCCAAGCATTCTGGAAAGAACTTGTAGAGGTGGGTCATGGTTACTTGAAGAATGCTACATGGTGGTTTAAGATGCAAACTCGTAAGGAGTTGATTGAAGCATGCACCATCCTTATATGGATTGCTTCAGCACTTCATGCAGCTGTTAATTTTGGACAGTATCCGTATGGAGGATACATCCTTAACCGACCAACCAAGAGTAGGAGATTCATGCCTGAGAAAGGAACCCCTGAGTATGATGAACTTGCTAAGAACTACGAGAAGGCGTATTTAAGGACAATCACACCAAAGAATGATACCCTTACTGACTTGACCATTATAGAAATCCTGTCAAGGCATGCTTCTGATGAGCAATACCTTGGAGAGAGAATTGAAGGTGATGTTTGGACTTCTGATTCACAGCCAAAAGAGGCTTTCAAGAGGTTTGGAAAGAAGTTGGCTGAAATTGAACAAAAACTCACCCAAAGGAACAAAGATGAGAAGCTAAGAAACAGGCATGGGCCTGTGGAAATGCCTTACACTTTACTTTATTGTTCTAGTGAGGAAGGATTGACTTGCCGAGGAATTCCCAATAGTATCTCTATCTAAAGAGATTGATATGGTTTGTTGTACTGTTGCTGCTTCGAATAACAGATGAGAAGGAATTCAGTTCCCTCAGTCTACTAATGTTATTGTGTGTGTCTGTTTGATTGTTTTAATGTTTTACTTTACATCAATAAGAACCACTGTGTGTTTGTTGTACCTTGTACTCTTCTAAGATATGTGATATCATATGCACTTTTAGTTATTTTATGTTATGAACTTTGCAACTGAGAAAGAAGTGAAGAAATAGAGTATCATATAAGAAGACTCAAGAGGCGCACTTATGTTGATGTTGTTAAATCTCAATTTTAGAGTTGTTAGGGTTATTATTTTTCATTCACAGGCCTCTATCTTCAATGAACAAACCAATATGTACCAGATCATATATTTCAAGGAATGTTCTTCAAAATCCTCTATCTTCAAAATCTCAAGGCAACAACAAATGATCGAGGATGTTTAAATGATTCACTTAGTCCAAAATTTATGAAATTCCATTAGAAGATTGATAAGACCAAAGCCTCCTAATAATAAAACTCAAAGTTATTGGATCAAAGGCTTCAAGTTAAACATACTTGGGCTTGCAAACATAGGTTTGGGCCACGAATGATCATTTTTCGAATTGAGACAAAATTTAGCGATATGTTAAGCATTCGTAAATGGACTTATGTAGAAGTCGCACCTATTTTGAGACCGTTCAATAGCAATCTATGTTCCATATACTTGGAGTGATGATACGTAGATCATCCTCTAACAACATGTAGCACAAAAGAGAAGAGGATGAGATGAAGACGGGAGAGGAATATTTGAATAAAAAATTTAATCAAACTATCATTAAAATCATCCATCCATTTTAGTGGACTTAAACTCTACACTCAAGATCCAATGATGTTAATGAAGTTTATGATCTACAATCACATAGCCAGAATATATTAAAAAATAAATTTCATTTAATGAATAAAATAAAAAAATGAAAAATGATTTTTAAATTGTTTTTATAATGAGAATAAATAGCAAACTATATTCAAAGTATCAAAGAAATTTTTTAAAAAGATCATAGAAAACTCAGTAATGACTTTAAGTATTTTTATAAAAAAATTTTGGTAATTTTTTAAAACAGAAAAGTATTTTTAAGCTAATTAAAATCACTCAAATAAGTGAAAAAAAGATCAAAAATAGTAGAAGTCAAAATAAAATTTTAGAAAAATTTCAGAAAGTTAGAAATAAGGAAATTGATTTTAATAAAAAAATTTAAAGTTTAAAAGTATTAAAAAATAATTTTAAATAATTCAATTCACAAACACTTTCAAAACTTAAGGTGAAGAAGGAGCTAAGTGTCTCTCTATTGGGAGTCATTTACTACCATCCTCAACAAAACACTTCAACAAATCCAAGATCTTTTACCTCATGGCTTTTCCCTTTAAAACATTTTCAAAAGGGCATGTTATTTTCGCTTTAAAAAAATACAGGTAACACGTGATTCTCCAAACAACGAGCAGCAACACCTAATTCTAGAATGCAAACATAACATCGTCTACTAAAAAATATCAAACAAACCAACATTTTTTAGAAGAACTACAGAGTTCTGATTTCTTCATTACACTATGGGAATACGTAGGTACTGGGTTGCAAGACTTGGGCGAACTCAATAATAAAAATATTTTCTTTTCCTCAATCTATTCATTCATACATTCTCAACAAGTTATAGCTTTAGATAGACACACTCTTAAGAAACAAACAACCGAAGTGGATCTCGTTGAGTAAAACGGATGTGAGAGGTACTAATAACTTTCCCTTGCATAACCAACTTCCGTATCCTTTCTCTTAGTAGCAAGACCATCTTATCCTTCCTTTTGGGATTTTCTCGATATTTTCCCTTCCTTCGGGATAAATAAAGTTCGGTGGCGAATTTGTGTTTTTTTTTGCAGTGTGACAAGTATGTGGTATGTCTCTCACAAGATGTGTTGCTCATAAAGACATGTCCCAAGTGTACAAATGCTCCTTCGTGCTGACCCCTGAAGAGCCCTAACAGTAGTATCATGGGCCTTTGGTTCAAGTGAAGGGAACAACTTACTTGTATCAAACACTACTACAGAAAATCTATACCTCAACGGTTGAAATTGGGATACACAACGTCTGACCAACCGTTATGAGGTAAGGGGTGATTGTATGTCATGTACATTCCACCACAGTCTCGAGACCATGATAATAAGGCAGGACAAGCAATACCTATCAGAACGATTATGCTTATCAACCATTGTAGAAAGTACCCAAAATTTATTATATAATATGTAGATTGCTTGTTTTTCCACACACATCACTAAAGAAATACAATTATTCAAAACACGGTTAGCAATGTTTTGTTCTTATTCAGAGAATATTAGTCAACAACAACATATAACAACATTTATCAACAACACAATAATAAAATACAACAACAAAAAAGAAACATACATTTTATCAACAAAACACTGATAACATACAATAACACACACCATTATGCAACAACACAAGATATAAAAAAATGTTTCAAGAACGCACATTTTATTGAAAACAATCGTGGAACTAGAATCCATGATGAAGTTCATCTAGTTTATGATGCTATGAAAAAGAAATACTAGATGGACGAAATTTATACAATAACTTCATACTTCTTATATTGTTTTTCACAGGAACACAAACCATATGTACCATAGCCAAAATATGCGTTTTTTTAAGGTAGTTTTCTTCATTCACTTTTCCTGTAAGTAAAAAAAATAAACACATGATATTAACAGCATTACATGGAACATTCACCAAATGAAAAAAAGATAAATTATTTTTAACAAGAAACATAATTGAAATCGTAGCATAATTTTAATGAACGAACCTGGCGATAGCGATTGGTGAAAACGAATCTGAAGGTTGCAGTATGTGTAATGAGTGATATGAATGTTAGGGTTATGTTTTGAGAGAGAATAGTGAAATATGTTAGGATTTTCTTTTGAGAGAAACATTTGTTATGTACTGAGTGAGAGATACTTTCGCTTATATATATTAAAAAGTATCACTTTTCATCACGATTGACAAGAAGAACCGTGACGAAATGATTGGACTTTACACCACGATTGACTAAAATAACCGTGTTGATATACCTTTTTTGTGACGATAAAATGAGATATTGAAAGAGTTGGGATTCGAACTCTGTAACTCATGTTACATTTTATTACAGATTTTAACATTCACCGTAGTAAAATATCTTTTAGTAAAAACAAAAAAAAAAGGTCCAAAAATGAGATTCCATCACGGTTAATGAAAGGCTATTGTAATATTGTTTGCCGAAAGATATTTTCTGTAGTGGTAAAAATTTCCTACTAGGTAGGAGGTGGTCCGTTGAAAAGTGTCAACAACGGTACAAGTCCCACATTTATTAGAAATATTGAGAATTAAACATTTATAAGTTGAAGAATTTACACACTTATCGCATTAACGTTTTGGATGAATATGTGGTGTGTCTTTCATTAGATGTGTTGGTCAATTAAGAAATATTTCAAGTGTAAAAATACTATCTCGTATTGACCTCCGAATAGCCTAAAGAGACACTACGTCAACATTTTAATTCGTTGTATTAATAATTTATTTTCTGATAAATTGAACAAAATACCACATCACATTTAATTTAAGTATTATGTTTTAATTTAATATTTTTAAAAAAGATACACTAAAATTTGAAATTAAAAAAATTAATAATTAAAATTCGAAAAATGATAGTTGTTGCAAACTTGAAGTCACATGTGAATGTCACGGATGAAGGTATTCTTTTTATATTTTTTTTCAAATGTCGATGAATGATGATAATGTTGTTATTCATTATAATCTCAATCCCAATAGTTGTTGTCGTTGAAGAAATTAAAGATTATTCAGATATTTTATTTTGAGATTAAAAGTAATACATGGTCAGTATAAACTAATTTTATATTATCATTAGTTATTTTAACATTCTATTATATAATATTAATATTTTTAAATTAAAAATATAATTTGATTTAATATATGTATTGGTTGATATTATAAAAATATTTTACGTATACTAGGAATAAGAAAAACAAAGAGAATCATGTTAGTATCTTTTAAAAGCTAATAAAAAATCTTTTCACATTCACATAAATCAAATCATTCATACTTGATATATTATTGAAATAAAACTATGTTCAAACATAAACAAAACTTAACTACATTTTCTTTTATTCACAACCTACATTCTTTTAGGTATTTTTTAAATGGATATTTTCAAGTTAATTATCATTGATTTCTTTAAATATTTTAATTTTTTCAAAATATAATATAAATTAAAAATATATATTTTAAGTTAAAAATCATACAGAAACAAATATAAAATGTTATTTTGTTTGAATCCAGTTTTAAAAATACAACAGCTAAATCTTCTTAAAAAAACTTTGATAACTTTTATGTCCATCTTAATTTTTTTAACTCGAAAATTACAAATAATATCTAATTATTAATCAAATAAAATTAAAAAAATAATTTAAATTGTGTCCTTAAACCAAAAAAAAAAACAACTTGATAAATAATATTTTTTTTGGTTAGTTTACGCGTAAGAATGCAATTTAAAATTACCTCAACTGATCCATTTCTCATTACACAAAGCTGGCATATAGAATTATGCAACGCATACATTATTTTATGTTGACCTAGGGCATAAATTATCATATATTTTATATACCACGATAAGTGTAAGCCTCATCCTAATAAATAATTTCAAACAAAAAAAGTTTTTTGGATCAGAACATATTGCCCTTTAAAAAATGAGATAGTTGAAGCTTGCAAACCACAAACTCTTGTTTCAAAAAAAATCATAATTAATTTGTAAGTAGCAAAGATGTATTCAGGAGTGAAAAGTTGGATCAAGAGAGGCCAAAAGGTGAAGGGAACAGTTCTGTTGATGCAAAAGAATGTCTTGGACATTAACGCTCTTACTTCAGCTACAAGCACAAGTGGTTTAATCAAAG